GTGCGTGGTTAGCGGTGTAGCTGCGGAGCTGCTTACAGCAGGACAGTTACGCTAAGAGCTGGCCTCCGAGGAGGAAACAGAAAACAAACACAGCGCACCCCCAAACCCCAACAGACCCGCGATTCTCAGCAGCGGACCCCACTGGAGCGAACCGTGTGCCGTGGCCCTAAAATCGCTGTCGCGGAACGGCGACTGCCGCGTCGGGCGCCAGCCTCGTGCGGGGCTCCACGCCGCCGCCGGCCCGCCCCGGGAGTCTCCCGCTGAGACGCGCCGTGCGGGGCGCTGGGTGGGCTCCGGGCTCTGCCTCCGGCACTGAGGAGGAGGAAAGGCGCGGAAGCGTTCGCGGCCGTCTTGGGAGCACACAGACACTGCTGGCCTAGCGCCTGTATGTGATGTGGAGACTTAGCAGAGAAGTAATGCGCGAGAAACTCAGCTTTATACCCGGATGCCCTAAGATGAGGACGTGGTGGTCCTTAGTTTTTGTCTTCTACTCTGCCAATGTCTCAGTTTTATTACTGTGTTGTTAAAATTATTTGAGAATATACTCTAAGAGATGGAAGAAGAAGCAATCCAAGAAAGACTGAGTTCAAGGAACAGCCCTACCTCAGAAGCAGGGAGGGAGAGACCCACCAGGAGTCCGCAGGGCTGGAGGCCTTCAAGAGTGGATAGATTTTTATGGTCGAAATGAAGAAGAATATTGATAAGATAAAACCAAACTTTATTTTGCAAAGAACAGGCAATAAAAAACTTGCAATAATACAGAATTAGGTTTTACATTTAAACATTGATTGTCATGAATCTAAAGAGAAGTAGTAACTGGCTCATTTCAAAACTTGAAATTCCAGGAAATGGATTTTACAGTATTTTGTTATGTAGAGAGTAATCACTGAAGAACTCTTTTGGTTAATAATTTGAATTTCAAAGTTAAATGTTTTCCTTGTTCCGTTTAATACCTGTGCCTTCCATTGTGCAAACTAATGGCTTTATTTATTGATTGGCTCTCTGGTTATTTCCTTTATGCCTTCTGGAATTTTTCATTAATTAATTAAAAATCCTCAGGTGATCTTTTATGGCTCAACCTTTTTTCCCCTCCTTTTTCTGTTTTTGTCCTTTTCTCCTACCCCCAGATTTTCTCCTGCTTTCCGTTTTGCTAATGTCAACATTTATTTGAGGAGTGTTGGGGACTGAGCCAGGGTCCTGTGCATGCTAGAAAAGCGCTGTACAGCAGAGGTACCCCACAGGTGTGCTAATTCCAGTGCTAACGTCCAGGGTATTTCTTAAGTTTCTGGTGGCCGCTTTCTCATAGCTCCCTATTGCTATTTTATAGATGCAATTATTTTTCTGAGTTGGACAAAACTTAATTAGAATTAAAAAGAACTCTCAGCTCTGAGGGTCCCCCCACCCCCCGCCTTCTCATGGGGTCCTGTTTTTCTCATCCTTTCCCTCCCTGCATGCCTTCCTTCTTCCCGTTTGCTTGTGGATTTCCAAGGCTCTGGCCGACTTCTTCTTGTCCTGGGAGGTTGTTCTCAGCTCAGGTGTGTCAGCTAGTGGCGACTCGTGTGCCTGTTGTGGTTGCTGTGGGATGAACCCCAGGGCAGAGGGGGTTCTGCCCGGCCTGACTCTGCACTGTCAGTGTGTCACTCTGCTGCCCTATGACTAGCATCTCCTCCACTGTCCGTCTCATAAGAATTAGCCAACTCTGTTCTCTTGTTCTCAGTACTATAGTGGATTTTCTTTCTTGGACTTCTTTACAAGTGGTGTGAAATGAGATTTGGGGAAGGCAGATAAATGTGTCTGCACAGTCTCATGCTGTGTTTTAACTAACGTTTCTTATTGCTTATTCAGCTCTTAATGTTCTATATTCTGCTTTAAAGGGAATCAGAGAGGCCCTGAAGTTTCTCATCTAGGACCTGGTGCCAAGAGCCCCAGGCCTGCCCAAGGCGTGCGCTCCATGTGTCCCTTCGCCCTCCGTTGGCCAGGCCCCCCGGCAGCTGCTTGCAGAAAGCGGAGTTTACCCCCTTCCTGGCACCGTCTGATGTGCTCTACCTAATTCTGTTTCCCTTTTTACTAGGAATAACTTGACTTCTTGTGCCTGTATCTTTCTGTCAGCATATTTATGAACTGCTTTTGCAGTTATCTTTCTTCTTAGCTTAGAGGACAGGGGAGAGCGGAGATGGAAGGGAGGAAAAAGGCGGAGTCTGGGTCTGTGCCCGAGACTGGACTGCTGTGGAAAGTGAGGCACAGTCCCCTTCTGCCTGAGAGGGGATCTTCAGGATCCTGCTCCCATCTAGGTGGGTATTTCCACATCTAGTTGAACAGAATGGAGCGGGGTGGTAGAGCTGAGAGAGATGGTGATTTGTGCCCCAGGGATCCTTCAGACTGTGCAGGACATTACACGTAGGGCACGTTAACAACTAGTGTCGACTCCTGACGATCCGGAATTGAGTGGTATAATAACTGAATGTGCAAGGACTCTACTGCTGACTTAGGAAAAGTCAGGGCTTGATCTGGCTTGAACAGGTAGAATTTAGGAGAGAAACCTGGCAGTCTTAAGGAATAGGGAAGTTTGTAGGAGTCAAGACATGAAGATAAAGGGGAAGCCTGTGGGATGAGTAGAGATCCCTGAGTTGGGGAGTGAGGACCAAGCTGGAGATAGAGCTGGTCTCTCGGCCTGACTTCTCAGTGAATTTTCTGTCCTGTGAGCGGGTGTGCCACAGGGGCGGGGGACCAGAGAAATGAGTCTTGGGCTCTGAAGGACAGTCCAGCTTCAGCACTTAGTGACCTGGAGCCCACAATACCACTGTTTTTTGTTTTTTCTTGTAAAATTAAAGGAAGTTGGAAAAAATTGAGAAGGAATACTATTAAGGGGAATCAAAGTTTTAACAAGTATAACCTTGGGGTTCAGTCATTGTCATCATTTCCCACGTAGGTCATTGCCCACAGTCAGTATCAGAAGTCCAAAAGAATTTCCATCTTTCTGAGCATGCAAGATGAAGTCGAGACGGAAGAGATCATCAAGGACATTTTCCAACAAGGCAAAACCTGTTTCATCCCCCGCTATCGGTTCCAGAGTAATCACATGGACATGGTGAAGTTGGCCTCGCCAGATGAGATCTCCTCGCTTCCTAAAACGTCCTGGAATATCCATCAGCCTGCTGAGGGTGACGTTCGTGAGGAGGCTCTGTCGACAGGCAAGTGTCTGCGGGGTAGAGTTGATGTTTTAGGGTTCTGTGTTAGACCTCTGCCCATCTGTTATTTGGGGGTCAGTGGGAGTTTATTTTCCCACAGGGAAGAATTTATATTTCTCCTGTATTCCAAGACACGACATGACCTGGCTTAGGGTGAGGTCTTCTCCCTAAGTTGTAAGCTGTAGACTGTAAGAGTGAGTTGTCATGGTATTGTTACCTTTTCACGGGCCCTGTGCTAAGCTTGTGGGTTGGCTTAGACCTTTTCCCTGAGTGATCTCCTCATTTCTCTTGTACACTTATAACCTATGTGCTTATGAGAATAAGCTACTTGTAATGTTAGCGAGAATTTATATCTCCAGGTCAGACCTGTTAACTGTCTTCTAGCAGTATCTACTCGGACGGCAGGTGCCATTCCAAATGTGGTGGGTCCCACTGTGTCACACTCCTCAGCCCTGCGGCAGTGCTCCATCTCAGCATGGCTACCTCCAGCCAGGAGATGGTGACAGATTCCTGGTCATCCCCCATTCCCCTCTTTGCATGCCCCACAGACTGTGGCCAAGTCGAAGCTGCCACTATCATTGGTGGGTTACTATGCCAGTCCGTGTCCCTCTTGCCTTCTCCTGTATCCTTTCCTTCCACTTAACCCATGATTTGCAAAGTCACTGGAGCAAAATTTCCTTGATGCCAGCTGGTCTGCCTGTGTCTTTCAGTGATTTCCTGTTGTACTAGCGAGAGGAGCACTTGCTGCAGGGGCTCCCTGGTGCTGGTGCTGTGCCTCTTCTCTCCCTGGCCTGGCTTCTGCTTCTCGTCCCTGCTCACACCTTGCTGCTGTCCCACTCCAGCGGCTCGGAGGAGCTCTCTGTTCCTCAGCCCTCCTCTGCCTTCTCTACAGTGGGATTGTTATGCCTACTGTTCTCTGGCCGACAGCTAGTTGGGAGATTTTTTTTTTTTTTTCATCATTATTAAGCAACCAAAGAGCCCAAAACAAAATAAGCTAAAGCTACCATTTGGTAAAGTAATACCTCAAATCTGTCTTGGTACATTTTGACCACACCCAGTGGTTGCAGAGAAACCCTGGCACACCTCTATGCGGTCTTCTCCCAGTCTCTCCCCTTGCACTTTAACATCATGACCTATGAAATCAGTAGATGGGATGGAAAGGGACCACGTCAGAATTCTTGTTTGCGGCCTCAACTTCCCTTATGTTTTCTGGTCCTGGAATTTGTAAGCTACTTAGGCCCTGCAAGTGCACTCAGACCTCCACCTTCCTGTCCTCCATCTGTGGGCCTAACGAGTGTCGGCATCATGAAACTCCTGCTTTTAGGGGAAAGGCTGCGTCTGACACAGTGAGACAAAAAGGGACTGCTGTGTGTCTTGGAAGGTAGCCCAGCCTACAGATAAGGAAGCAAGGAGGGAGCCGTGGGCCTTGACGCCGCTTGCACACAGTGCAGACACTTCTCTAGACTCTCTGGCTTTAGGGCAGAGCCCAGAGTGCGGCCTGGGTTCTGGCTGATCAAATATGAACACAGGCTTGCTAACCGAAGTTCCACTTGGTCTCCACCTGTAACCGGCTCCTCGTGGCAGCCTTTGCCCTAGGTTTTTTTTTTTTTTTGTATTTTAGGGAAGGGCCTACAGGGTGTTCAGGGTCTTACTATTAGATCAGACTCATAGTGACCCGCCTGTTTACAGCCTCCCAAGAGCTGGGATTACAGGCGCACACCACCACCATGCCCAGCCTCAACTGTGTCTCAGCACACCCCAGGGGTGGGGCCAGCTTGACAGGTCCAGGGATCAAACCCCCGGCCCCTGCGCCTGCTTGCAGGCGCTTTAACCCGCTGAGCTGCTTGGCTGGCCCCCGCCTTTTCCCTTAGGACACGATGCCCCTTCCATACCCCTCTCTGGGTTAGCGTATATGGTGTCCCCGTCTCCCTTCACGTGCTGTTCTGGTTCCACTCGGGCCCAGCAGTGGGAAGAGCAGAGGAGCATGACTTTCTTCGTAGCTGGCTGTGCTTCCCGGTGAGGTTGAGCCCAGCTCAAGCCAGTGAAGGAAGCTGTCTGTGGTGCTGGCAAATTACTCGGTGCATGGAGCATTCGCTACGTAGTGAGGGAGGCAGCATTATTCATTTCTTGGTAAACTCTTTGCTAGCTGAGTATTTTATGTTTTGATAAATTGCCTCTGAGCATACTTTATGAAAGATTCTATTTTAGGCCTGGGAAGACAAGATCCTAGTTCCCCGGGGACTTATACTCAGGCTGGGGAGACAGAAAACGTGTTACTAGAAGTAGTATATGCGCCTGTAATACATGGCAAATGCAGGTGTCGGATGAAAGCCCACTGAATATTAGAAGCGTACAAGTTTGGGGATTTGTCCTGAAATGAGAAAAGTCCACTGGCTGGTTGTTTTCTCCTCTGTGGCGCGATTCCAGGCCGTATTTGGGGTCCAGGAAGCTTCCGCTCTCGGTTTTGCGCCGAGCGTCCTCCCCTGTGCACGGGGCCAGTGCTGAGTGTTGTTTGCAGCAGCGCTCGCGCAGGCGGCTTGCTGTCCCTCTCCTAGAATCACTCTCCGCAGTGCGGAGTTTGCCTTGCTTGCTTCAGCAGCTGGGATGTGACAGCCTCAGCGCTAACACACAAATCTTGCTTCCACTGTTTGGGACGATCCGATCAGCTCAGACGGCTCGGGGAAGCCTTGCAGTCTGTTTATCTTTCCGGTTCGCTAATGCTCTCTCAGCTTAGAAGAGAGTGACTTCTGGTGTCCTTGGTTGCAACTATAAGTCCTAGGCAGGGATTTCCAGTGCATTGTTCTTACCGTGTTTGCGGAGCAATCCAACAATGGGTGAATGAGGTAGGGGGCGGTCTCTACTGCATTCCCGCAGCGTGAGGGCTGCATGCCGGGCAGTAGGGTCAGCCAGAGATCTTTCCACTGGGGACGTATAATCTGATTCAGCCTGGCTTAAGCAAAAAGAGGATTTTATTGGTTCGGAGACCGCAGGCTCCACGGAAGAGTGAGATTTGGATATGGCTGGATTAGATTTATTAGGAGGCAGTGCGTCATTTCCTGAGTCTGTTCCTGACCGTGTGGCTTCATGTTCGGGTGCCAGATGTGGCCCATGGCAGCGCTGGCTTCTTCAGTGTCTCTGTTGGTAGTGATTTTAGAGGTTAACAGGAAGCCTGTTCTAACAGTCCCAGCTGTTCCTGACTCATTGGCTCAAGGGGCCACTGCCAAATTAAGCCACTTTGGCCATGGATACAAACTAGGCCACCTGGGTTGGGCCTAAGCAGTCACGCCCCTACAGACCCCTGTGCCAAGGCAACTTTAACTTTACGGCTTGCGCTGCTGCAGGATGGAAAATGTCGTTCCTTGCCTGGAAGCCACGTCCTGACTGAGTGGGAAGACTCAGGGAAGAGGAGCAGAGTGCCTTCGGACTTCTTCGGTTGGGGTAGCACTCCGCCGTCCCCCCGACTTCCCTGAGCCCAAGCACTGCACTTTTTTTCTGCTGAAATCGGGGCTGTCCCCAAGGCCCAAGGCCAGTGCCGCCTCCTCCTGAAGGCTTGAGGCTGCCTCCTTCTCTGTGCCTCTCTCTAGGTTAGGGACCTCATTGTGCTTTGTGGTATGGTGCACATAGCTAAGCTAAGAGACTTTTCTTACTTTAGTACTTGCTTAGATTAGGAGCCCACGACGTCATGGGAAGCCACTGCACTTTAGATCACGTCTTCAAAGGTTCTGAAGTACGTCTGTAGTTAGTCATGCCTTCAGGGGTCTTTGGCTGGCGACCCTCCTGGCCTAGAGCCATGGAAATGGCCTTCAGGTGCTTTCCTCAGTGAGCCTGGGCTCAAGTCAGTACCTCAATGGACGTGAGTTCCTCCTTTATCTTCACTAGCTTCCTGTCGTTTTCAGGGGCTCTAGCTTGGGTCTTACGAGCCCTCCAAAGGCTCCTGTGTTGGCGGCCCTGTCCTTGGCCTGTGGCCCTACTGTGAGGTGGTGAACCTGTGAAGAGTGAGGTCCAGTGCCTAGTCCTGGGGCGGGAATCCTTGTCGGGACGTTGGACCTTGTCCTTCCACTCTCTCTCCTCCCTCTGTCTCTCTCTGGTCTGTCCTAGCGTCCCTGCCCGAGGTGAATGACTGCTCTGCCAGGACCTGCCACCTTGCTCCAAGCCGGAATGCAGTTGCTCTTCCTGGCCACGGGCCAAAACCTCACACTGTGAGCTGCAGATACCTTCCTCTTTCTGAGTTGATTGTCTTAGGTGTTTTGTTACAGTAGCAAAAACAGACTAAAGTCGAAGTATATGCCAACAATTCTATGTTGAGTGAGCTACACAAACAGCACACAGCTCACCCACGCTGGTTCTGAGGCAATTAGCTGTGCAGCCAGCTTTGCATTGATTGGCCTGGAGGAAGTGCAGAAGCAGCGCACTTGGGCCCCCTGTCAGAGGTTTCAGCCACCTTGGCCAACTGTGGTGTGAAAACATGAAATGGAAGATTCCAAAAGTAAACAGTGACTGCGCTCTAAATGGTGTGCTACTCTGAGTGGCATGATGCCCTGTGCCGTGAGGTGGAGCCCTGCCCAGGATACCTGCCGTTCCTTTGTCCAGCGTGGCCGGGCTCCTGCCCCGCCGGGACGTGGTTATTGAAGCTGCACCTGTGAGTCCGCCGTCACATCAGCCTTCGCAGCATCACAGTGCTGGTCATCACACAAGTCGCGGTGCAGGCGGCTCAGGCATGCTGGCGAGGTGTGCAGAGCTTCCTGCATGTGAGCAGCCAGGAGTCTCCTCCCCATCGGGAAAGGAAAGAGGCAGAGCTGCTGAGGTTGCTGCGGTCTGTAGTACAGCAGCATTTTCTAAGGGTGGCATTCACGAAGCTTGCTTGCGGTATAGTTGTAACACTTGTTTCTTACATTGTTACTAATTTCTTGCTGTTTCTAACTTATAAATTAAATCTTATTATACACACGTGTGTGTAAGAAAATACTGGGTTTGGTCCTGGGATTTCCCGTCCTCAGAGAGGT